ACCCAGACTTCTGGGACCAGCTACGCAACCAAATACAAACACTGCCGTTTGGCATCCTGATCCTGGGGGGCGACTACAACTCCACACCTTGTTCGTCAATAGACCGCAGCGCACCGCAGGGGCAGCGAAGAGCACAGGGGGAGGGAGTCAGGACAAATTACTGGCCAAATTTATGCAGCAAATGAAACTACTTGATCCCTGGAGACTACAACACCCCGGGCAAAGGGACTATACATTTTCCTCGGCGGCTCATTCGACGTACTCCCGCATAGATATGTTCCTCGTTAACCAAGGAGGGATCCGATGGATCCAGTCTGCATGAATAAACCTAATAACATGGTCAGACCATGCGGACGTCGAACTCATAATAAGACTACCAGGATCCAATCCCCCATGGAAATGGAGACTTAGGGACACACTTATCAAGGACCCAGAGGTGACGAAACAAATACAAGACAAAGTGAACAATTACTTCACCACGAACGACACGCCAGACGTGTCACAGACAACAATATGGTCCGCCCATAAGACGATCATAAAGGGGACCCTTATCAAAATAGCAACTAACCTCAAGAGACTGAGAGCGGAAACCCTGTTCGAGCTCCAGAAGGAGCTGAGAAGGGCGGAAACCAAACATAAACAGTCGCCCACAGCACAGGGACTCCGAGCGCTCAGGGACCTGCGTCACAAAATACGGAACACAGCGAAAGAAGAACTAGGCAGGGAGCTGATCTGTAAAAAATGCCTTTACTACGAATGATCCAATAAAATGGATACCCTATTAGCCAGAGCACTGAACCCAAAACCAAAATACCACACCATAACGGCAATAAAAGAGGCGGGAGGGCAGATAACACATAACCCCATGGAGATTAACCAGATCTTCACAGAGCTCTTCTCTAAAATTTACAATCACTCCCCGGAGCTCAACGGAGACAACAAGGTCTATGACCAAGCGGTCAGGGACTTTGTCGCTAAAACCAACATACCTACACCTAGTCCCGAGGTCATGCCGACCCTGGGAACACCCATAGAAGAAGAGGAAGTGGATAGGTCAATTTCTGCCCTAAAAGGAAACAAAGCCCCGGGGCCGGACGGCTTCGGTGGCTCCTGCTATAAGATCTTGAGAGAGGTACTGACGCCCCGGCTCGTAAAAGTGTACGTGTAGTGGATGGAGGGCAGGCAATCGAACTCAGAAACACTCACAGCGGATATCACGCTCATTCCCAAACCAGGGAAGGACCCAACTGAGGTGGTAAATCACCAACCCATTTCCTTAATCAATTTCCACATGAAGGTATTCACAAAAATACTGGCGACGCGGCTCAGCCCCCTCCTGACGACTATGATCCATGCGGATCAGGTCAGATTCGTCCTAACACGACAGTTATATGAGAACACGAGACGAGGCGTGGACGTCATATGGTGGGCAACAAAAACCCGTACGCCTTCTCTGGTCATGTCTTTGGACGCGGAGAAGGAGTTCGATAGGGTACTGTGGCACTATCTCTTCACACTATTAAAGCATCTGCAGATGCCAGAGCCCTTCGTGAGAGGGATAGGGGCCCTCTACGCCGACCCCGGAGCACAGACGACAGTGCCGGGATCAACCCCGACCCCCTTCCGACCCAACAACGGCACCAGGCAGGGATGCCCTCTGTCCCCCCTGCTGTTCGTTCTCGCTCTGGAGCCCTTACTACACAGAATACGAGGAACCGAAGGCATAGAGGGAATACGGGCTGGGGGGAGGAGTTCAAGGTCTCCGCATACGCGGACAATATAATGATCACGATCGCCAACCCAAAACACTCGCTCCCTCAGCTTCTGTCCCTACTAGAGGAATTCGGATATGTATCGGGCTACAAAATTAATATGGGAAAATCGGTGGCTATGCCACTTGGAATGGACCCAGGGGAGGTTGAAAGACTAAGAACCACCCACACACTCACAATCGCGAAAACCAACATTAAATACTTGGGCGTCAGGCTCACTGCAGATCCGGACAAATTATACTCTGAGAATTACACACCCAGTATTCAATCACTGTGCCGGGACATAGAAAGGTGGCAGGAAAAAACAATTTCCTGCATAGGTAGACATCAAAATGACGCTGCTCCTTCGCCTGCTGTTTTTATTCCAGGCACTACCTGTCAAAGTAACCAAGCAAGATCTAACGCTATTGCAAAGAACCATAGATAAGTTCATCTGGGCACAAAAATGCCACTGCATAGCCAGACAGGTACTGTACCGCCCGAAAATCAGGGGAGGACTGGGACTCCCAAATTTATATTGTTACTATCTAGCGGCACAACTTCCCCAGGTGATAGCTTGGCATTCCCAGGTGGGCTCCCACAGGTGGGTTGAACTAGAAACACATCTGATGAGCACTGACCTACCACAATTTTGGATCTGGGTGCCCAAGCAGGACAGACCACCCCTCCGCACCACATGCCCAGTGATACTCAACTTAATACGAATCTGGGATCTTACGGCCAACAAACACACCCTAAAACATACACCATCACCGATGACCCCATACCTACACAAGTATTCGAGCCCGGGCTGAGCGCACAAGACTTCCAGGGCATTGAGAGCACGGGGGTACAGAGATATGCCCATCTGCATGACAAGGGAACCTTTAAAACGTTCGAATGCCTGAAAATCCTAGCATCCCTGGCCACAAAAGACGTATTCAGATACATACAGCTAAAAGACTTTGCTAACAGCCCCGAGGTTAAGAAAGCAGCACAAACCCAAATGACATTTTTCGAACAACTGTGTAACGCAGAATTAGAGCAGAAGGGCCTAATAACAACCATATACGCACAACTGAGTGCCCCAGACAAAAACACCCTAGATATATTGGCCAATGGGAGACTGACCTGGGGGGAGAGCTGGAAGGGGAGGATTGGGTGGATATATGGGAAGCGACGGCAAAGACATCGATCTGCATGCTACATCTGGAACATTCATACAAAATGTTGATGAGGTGGTACACCACACCAGTACAACTGTACAGGATGGGAAAAGCCACGACAGACACATGTTGGAAGGGGTGCGGGAATAAAGGCACTTTTGTACATATGTGGTGGGAGGGCGCCATTATAGATGGATACTGGAAACGAGTTCAGACGCTACTGACAAACGTCCTGGAAAGACATGTAGACATGGACCCCTGGTCCATCCTGCTTCCAGGCCCATCGATGGCCTCCCAAGAAAAGAGCATCAACTCTTTAATAAAATCACCCTAACAGCCAGGCGGGCACCCACTGTCCCCACAGAAAACAACATAATAATGAAGATCAAAGACACATACTTAATGGACAAACTCACAGCCCAAATCAGAAACACAGAAAAATAATTTTAAAAAATCTGGCAACCCTGGGAATAGTACATAGACAACTGAGACCCGCAAAAACACACAGAGGCAGGGACTGGGGAGCGGACAGGGATGGGATCCGTGCGCGCCTCCCGAGCAAACACCCTGTCAAGGGCAACACAGTATCCCCCCCCTTTCTCCCTCTCCCGCCTACGACCCATGCACATGCCTTATTAGGTGAGAAGTCCAGTTCCAGAGTTTCAATCCTAATTTACCTCACCTGAAAAGAATTGTTAATTACAGTTGCTATTAAGAACTCCCCTGCCAAAGGAGGAGAGAGATTGTGTTTGATTTCTGTGATTGGAAACAGAGCTGAAAAACCCTGAAACAGTAAGGTTGTTGTTTATGTTTCTGTTGGGAAATGGATAAGCCATCCAACCCAGTTAGCTAATTATTTTGTTTAGTTAGTGCTCAGAAGAGCAAGGATTTTGTTTTATATATTTTGTTACAACCTTTTATACTTACTGTGCATTTATTTTGGAACCACAATAAAAAGAGCAAGTCCTTTGACCTCATCCAGCATGTGAAGTGTCTCTAAAGCCTGAAAAGACTGTGTGTAACACCCCAATCCCAGGACAAGGTACCAAGGGAAAGGAGTACTTTTGTCACAGTGTATATTTATATAATTATTTATGTCATTTTGTATATGGATATATGCATATTTCGTATTATTTTTATTTATTTATATATACATAGATATATATACAATTTCATTCTAAGTGTATTTTGATATAAATATATATATATATTAATATCAAAATACAGTTAGAATAAAATTTCATATAGATATATAATTTAAAAAAAAAGATTATTTTTAAGTTTTTTTAAATTTATTTTAATTATTTGTATTTTATAATAATATATATAGTTATTATATATTATATATATATATACATGTGTAATTTAATTATAAGTGTATTTTTATATTAATATATGTATATATTAATATAAAAATACACTTAGTATGACTATATATATATATATATATATATATATATATATAGACATATATTATATAAATATAATATGTCTATATATTATATATATATATATATATATATATATATATATACACACACATATATAATTACATTTTTAAATTAACATTAACATTTATTATTTTTTTTTATTTTACACTTGCAGGGAGACTGCCTGTCAGCACAGACACTGTTGAGCGACAACATGGACCCCGGGGTCCTAATTCGCTGTGGGGAGACTGGGCTGCAGGCAGTCTCCCCACACCGGGAGCACCGCCGATCGCCGCCGGGGGAACGATGTCGATCGGGTAAGTACATCTTACCGTTGTGACGGTTCAGGTCCGTCACTGGTCCTCAAGGGGATTTTTCCGATGACGGTCCTGAACCGTCACCGGTCGCGAAGGGGTTAAACACATTTTTTTCTTAAATTTGTTCAAGTCAACATAAAAATTTAATTTAATATTTTGGTAGGGCAAATATTGGTCAAGGCTACCTGTGGTTTAGTTAGTGTTCTTTTAGTGAGGTTGAAAATTTCACTCTGTTGTGTTGTCTGTTGTTTCTCCTTTTTTCTCTGTATATGGTTTCCTGCTCTACTTCCCTTTCTTCTAGAAACCTCATCATCTTTTCTGGAGATTTGTATGTTCCACCTATATTTTAGTATCTCCCTCTGGTCAGTGTTTCCCCCAAAATTCTCATTTTTAGCAGATCTATTTAAATGTTCAAATCTATTTGTTGTCCATCTACTTCCCTCCTTTTCCATAGGCTTTCCTCCTCCCAATATCTAGGGAGTTGTAGTTCAGGAGTTTGAGGACTCCTGATTTAATTGTTCCCTGTTTGGGATTCTGTATTTATACTCTTTTGTTGGTGTTTTGTTGGGGTTTATAATTTTCCCTTATTTTAATCCTGTTGGGATATTCCTCTCTATTTGGACCATTCCAATATCTATTTTCTTTTCTCCCCGTTTCTGTGGTCTTTTGGAGCAGATTCTCATCTGTTTCTTAGCATAGTCAGTTTTATCCCTCACATATTTCCTTTTCTTGATCTCTATCACATTTTTCCAGTTTCCCAACGGTTAACTGGATTTATTGTGTGATATTAGAGTATTCATTAGGGGATGTGTTATTAATATAAAATGTTGTTTGTTTAAAAAAAAAAAAAAATATCTTCATCTTATTTTTTCTTCTTCTGATAATTAGATCCATCATACCAAAGGAAAAATGTTGTAACATCTCTGACCATTAATGAAATCTTCGTCTTGCTGGTCAAGGAGGGACTTTTATTAAACCTCAGTCCCCTAGAGGGAATTTTTCCCCTTATATATATTTCCAGGGTAGCAACCTTTCACTTAATTTTAATTTCTCTCTCCATTATTGTAACGGATCACCTGGCACCCCGACTGGGTACCTCCATTGAAGGATGCTCCTAGCGCTTCCTGAGGACTCCAAGCACTGCAGCAGACACCACAACCACCGAACCGGAGAAGCATATGAATGTTCTCAAGCATATGAATGATGTAAGCAGCTGAACAGGAAAAACATACAATCAGCTTACACTCCTGGCAATCAGCATACAATCCAATTCCCCCAATAACGAGACGACACTTCGTTTTGAGGGTTAAGCAGAATCTGATTTACTGGGGCTAACTGCCCGGCTTTTATGCAGGTCTCCCACCTGGCGGACACTCCCCTAGGGGACCAAATGGGAGCCTGGGACACAAAGGGTAAAAGGACCATTTACAGACTTACACATTTCAACCATCCCACAATGCATCACAATCCCTCCTCTCTGCCCTGGAGATAATTGGGAAGTAATTCAATTATCTCCAGAGACAGAGGCAAAACTCCATTAACCACATGGCAGAAAACAAACAGTAAAAGACATAAAATTACTTACAGTTACATTCAGTACATAAAACTTATACATTCTACATATCCCCAGATAGCTCAGATCAGAGCGCACATTATTAAGCGAATGGCGCTCAGACCACACGAATACAGTTTAATCGCCATGGAGCCAAAGTCTTTACACAGTCAGTTTCATGCGAATGGGCTCCATGGGATTCCTATCTGGGGCACAACACACTCAAACAAAACTACCGAACACCGGGCCGTTCGTGCACTTTCACCAAACAAGAAGGGAGGTCGGCGGCTTCAGCGGTGTTCGCGCAAAACTGTGTCCGATTTCAGTTCCATGAATTAAGTGTCGAACAGCGCTGTGCATTAGCATGTTTAAAATGGCCGCGACCTCGTGTTTGTGATACGAATGGCGGCCACCCAGCATTCGTCATTAAGCTGCGGTTAACCGCAGCTTCAGGGAGGTTAATTGCCGGCACACTCCAGATTGAATCTACCGAACAACTGGCAGAAAAGCACGAATAAGTCTTTTCTGCAGGGAAAAAATATGTATTTTAACACGGGGCCATAGTCCAAAGGCAGCAGGCGAGCAACCAGGCTTCTCCAGTGTACAGTGGTGAGGTTGGTTTCGCCACAATTATTTTCACCAAATTAAAGGACCACTATAGGCACCCAGACCACTTCAGCTTAATGAAGTGGTCTGGGTGCCAGGTCCAGCTAGGTTTAACCCTTTTTGCTGTAAACATAGCAGTTTCAGAGAAGCTACTATGTTTACAATAGGGTTAATCCAGCCTCTAGTGGCTGTCTTATTGACAGCCGCTAGAGGCGCTTCTAAGCTTCTCACTGTGAAAATGCCAGCGTCCATAGGAAAGCATTGAGAATGCTTTCCTATGATACTGGCTGAATGCACGCACGGCTCTTGCCGTGCATGTGCATTCAGCCAGGGACGTCAGAAGAGGGAGGAGAGTCCCAGCGCCGAGGGAGCCCGGCGGTGGAAAAAAGGTAAGGGATTAACCCCTTCCTCCCCCTTCAGCGCCACGGGAGTGGGACCCTGAGGGTGGGGGCACCCTCAGGGCACTATAGTGCCAGGAAAACCAGTATGTTTTCCTGGCACTATAGTGGTCCTTTAAGCTTACTGCTTTTTACATCCATTTTGATTTCTATATCCCTATCTTGAATAGACATTTCATGATCTTCAAACAATGAATCAATATTTTTTCCACAGATCGCCCTTTTTTCAAAAAGTGACATTGTGATATTTTAGCAGCCAAAACACAGTGTTGAAGAGAAAAATCTATATTAAAATGTAAAAGTGCTCTGTGCATAGAAATAGGCGCTTAAAAAGTAGGTGTCCAAAATGTCAATCTAAAAGCCGCTACAACACCGATGTGGAAGGTGTACCATTCAGTGGAGCACTGAATAAAATACATTTACCCTTAGTTTATAACTTAGGGTAAAATTGGTCCAATATGAACATGAGGAGAAAAATAAAGAATACAAATCTAATAGTGTAGTATGTATTATACTTAAAATAGATAAGTGAATATAAACAAAACAAACTCACAAAGACAAAGTAGGATTGGCTAAACAATCACTTTGGTGTATTGAAGTGACACTGTTCCCACATCTGGTTTCTTCTTATAAACTCAAAAGGGAACACAGAGAGAATTGCCTCTAGTGTAGTATGTCTGGTACATAGTGGAAATAGATAAATCAAATGAATATTGCTCACCTTAACCAGAGCCAATCAAAAGAACCTGTCTCTGGGTATTAAAGATTTTAACCCACTAAAAGGGGGTAACCCTTCTTTACTGGAGGTAGGTGGAGCAGACAGCTAGTAGGACTTAAAATCCAATTGGATACATTTATTAACACATAAAACAAAAATGTATAAAAACAAGTAAAATAAGTGTCCAAATGAAAGCTTCTTTCATCCGAGACGCGTTTCGCCCTCTCCCCGGGTTTTCTCAATTGAAGTTCTCCTGTACACTTCCATCTCCTCCTTTAAATCCCTATCTGTCTTCTGATTTGTTCAGCTGGTTGTTCCGTGACCAATCGCGGCTGCAGAAGGTGTGGGCGTCGTTCCCTTAGCTGATTTCACTCACCATCTCGTCTAACTGAAGTGACATGCTGCCCCTTTCGGCGCATCACTTCCATTTCTTGTATCACCATTTTCCTTCCTGGCGTCACTTATCTTTTTCCCTTACAGGGGTTAGTGACACAGTATCCTTATCCTCGTAACCGGAAGTTCACCACTAGCCATTTTGGAATGGGGAATTCGTGTCTTTCGTTATCTTGGTTGCCCAATCTTAGTGTCCTTGTACAGAACCAAAATATATGGTGCTCGTCCATGTGGAAATATAAACAATAATATTGGACTGATTTTACCCTAAGTAATAAACTAAGGGTACGTGTATTTTGTTCAGCGCTCCACTCCAGAGATTGTTGGTGGATTTCACCATCCAACCTTCTTAACTGCACAGTATTTGTGATTTGGTGGATAAGATAGAATTCCACATGAGTGTTGTAGCGACTTTTAGATTGACATTTCAAACACCTACTTTTAAAGCGCCTATTTCTATGCAGTGAGCACTTTTACATTCACAAAAATAGATTGAGAAAAACTCAAATGGACACCGACATACATTTGCGGCACTGAACAGGATAAAATGTTCAGCTCCTTCTAGTTGTCTGTTTGCACAAAACTCAGATTGATTTTAGTTGTAAGATGTTGCTGTTAATTATCTACACTCTGTAATTGTACATTACTGTGGAATATGTTGGTGCTATAGAAATAATAATAGAAAATGTAATATTGAGAAATCTACCTTCTACCCCATATTCAAGTAATATATTCCTATTCTAATAGTAACAATAGCAGATCTTATACTGTTTGTTACTTCTCTATTACATTTATCAATCATTGAAATTATATTTTAAAGGGACACAACATGCACTGTTACTAACAATGTTACTTGCATGGGTTATGGTGCAACATGTTCCTCTGTCTCTACACCTATATTATTTACTGAAGACTTGCTGGTGAATTATTGTAATTTCAAATGTAAGGCTAAAATAGCTAAACTGCCAATAGCAAAACATATATGACTTGGAGAATTTCTCTAACCTGGCTATTTTAGCCCAGATTTAAAATACACTTTTGAATATCTTTTAATTCCCAGTAATTCTCATGTTCGTAAATAACCCTGACAGTGTTTTGAAAAATGTAGTGATTTGCAAACCATTGCTTCATTTAAGTCCTACCCTCGCTATGATACCACACAAAGAGACTTATGGTAAAGCAGATAGTGAATAACTCATCCAGGCATATGTGCTTTATTTATGTTGTGCTCAGTTAACAAACAGGTCTTTTTGGCCACAATAGCAAAGGCAGGATAAGTAAAACACATATCGAGATATTAGCACAATTTCTGGTATATAGACAATAGGTAGTTATGGTACAATACAGGCATTCATGAGTCAGCTCAGGAATGTACACAAATAGTAAGACTTAATATGTGAAACAACATGAATATATCATTGTGATAAATCACTAGAGAGTGAACTACTAATCGATGTATCCTCATTTCAGCGTAATGATACTGCAACAGGCGTGTAAAAGATAAACAAGGTAGGTATGCATGAGAGTATACTTATTAAGTAGTCATGTGTAACTAAGATATAATAAGCATGGTATGGTACCATTGTTTTTTTTTTCAAGGAAGGAAAGCAAGGATAAATTGAGCAAGCAGATGCCCTGTAACATAAGTCCCAAGATGGGTGAGCTAAGGAACAAGAATATACAACCTTGCTCCACTTGGGCCTTGAGGCCTATAAAGAGAGGGGGCCCAAGCCTTCTATCGAGAGGGGTGGACAGCCTATGCCCACCAACAAATGCAGCCTTCCCAGTGGCAAGTTAAGTGGCTGCATCTCCCCACCACTACCCCACAGTCCCTGAGTCCCGGATACAGTCCTGCACTGGCTCCTCATGTATCAGATCTCTGTTAATGGTCTGGGCAAAATCTTTGGAACGTCTTGCAGATAACTG